AGAGGTAGAGACCGAAAGGATATAGGAGCATACTAGATTCAAATATTGATAACCTTTAGAAACCAACAAGGATAAATTAATATGGGTACAGTTTAACTCACAGAGTAACAAAAATAGAATGCATAACTTCTAAATCAGCAAAACAAATTTAATCTAGCCCACGGAAAAAGAATCTAAATTTTAAAATATAAAAAAGCAGAAAAAAGTCCCCATTAGAAAAAGAATTACTTATAAAAGCTTATTAAAAGATGTTGGCTATTAGATTAGATTGAAAAACAAAAGCAATATGGTAATATGCTACTTAAAAGATACACTTAAAAAGTTACAAAAGGTTGAAAATAAGAAATGTAAAAATACGCCAGGAAAATATGAACCAAAAGAAAGCTGAGAAAGCAATCTTAATATCTGAAAAAAATTAATGTAAATATACATATATTATCTGTATATATAAATATACTTGTAAATATACATATATTATACGTATATATAAATATGCTTGTAAATATATATATATATTACATGCATATGTATAAATGTAAATAGAGACAGAGCACAGCACATAGATAGGGTGTGTGTGTATGTGTGTATACACATACACGTACACACATACAAACATACACATATGTAGGGAAGAAAAAAATATAATTATATATTTACCAATGTATTTAGAAAGCTATAAAATAACAGATGCTATTATATTCAGTTAAATCATATGCAAGATCTACAAACTTATAAAAATAATGTGAACTCAGGAAAAGTCAAAGAGAAAAAATGACCAATTGGTTGCAAAACAAAGGTTTTCAAAAAAAAAAAGAAAAGATTGAAAAAAATAGTTGTATAGACTGAAGAAAATGTACAATTTTTCACAAGTAAATTAAATTTTACAATATAATGACCAAATCAACCTAACTATGTATAACTTTCTTCCTGATGTATTGTTAATCACTCTACTGAATCCATTAATAGACATAAATTATACAATCTAGTTTACAACTGACAATGGTACACAAGAATATATTGAGAACATATAAATAAAAATCAAATGACTAATGAATATGGGATTCATTTATGCAATGCTAGATGTTGATATACTTCTTGGTTTGTAAGTTTTCTGCAGAGTAACATGATTTCACCCCTTGAATATACTGCAAATTCCTGATTCAATGGGAACTGCAATTTTTTTTTTTTTTTTTTTTTTTTTTTTGAGACGGAGTCTCGCTCTGTCGCCCAGGCTGGAGTGCAGCGGCACGAACTCGGCTCACTGCAAGTTCCGCCTCCCGGGTTCACGCCATTCTCCTGTCTCAGCCCCTCAAGCAGCTGGGACTACAGGCGTCCACCAACACGCCCGGCTAATTTTTTGTATTTTTAGTATAGACGGGGTTTCACCATGTTAGCCAGGATGGTCTCGATCTCCTGACCTCATGATCTGCCCACCTCGGCCTCCCAAAGTGCTGGGATTACAGGCATGAGCCACCATGCCCGGCCCAATGGGAACTGTAATTAGTTATAATCATTATGTATAACCAAAATAGAACATACTTCAAAAATTATCTAAAGCTCTCTTATCTAATGTAACCCAGAATTATGCAAGTCAATTTCCTAGTACTTCCTTGAGTGTCTTAAAATGTAGCATGAAAATGAAGGAAAACTATAAGTGGCATTTTTTATTGTATATATTTATGGAGTACAGTGTGATATATTGATATTTGTATATACTGTGGAATGATTAATCTAATTAACATATCTATTACCTTACATACCACATATTGATCATTTTTTGTGGTGAGAACATTTAAAATCTATTCTCTTAGCAATTTTCAAGTATATGGTACATTATCATTAACTATAGTCACCATGTTGTACCACAGGTCTCCAGAACTTATTCCTCCCATCTAACTTTAGGTGATGACTCTCATGAAAGACAGGAAGGACACTAACCACAGAAGCTTCTTTCCAACATAACCAACCATTACCACACAGATTATTTTTTATTTGGAAACTTTGCTAATTATTGACTTACACATGCAAAGGAACTAATGAAATTTTCTTTAACTATTTAAAGTAATACAATAAAGTTTCTTTTTTCTCTTGTAATACGAATTTTCATAACGAAAAAATAGCTAAGCTCACATTTTCCATTGTCAGATCATTAGAGGCATACATCAGATTCACAGTTTTGTCAACAGCTACAATCCCAGCTATGGAGTCAGGCTGTGTCACAGACATCCTAAGCGAGACTTTCTCAGATGGTTCAGCTTTCACTTTACTCCAATACAGCTTTATCTAAAAAAGAGAGAAAGGAGGATTAACTTATGTCACTTTTTTAAAGCATACTTTTGCCAATAGCAGATCAATGGCTCAAAATATAGCAAAGATTCTACATGTGCCTTGGCTCAGGGATAATTCTAAAACCATACATAACCCTTCTCTAGGGAAAGGAATAAAAAAAATACTCCCAGAGTGTTTGCAAGTCATAGAACTTCTCACAGTGGTATAAATCTGAATTATTCTTCAATTCTGAATCTTTTTTCTTCCCTTTCTCCATCTCCCAGCCCTCAGATCCCAGCCAGTGCTGAGTAGAAGACAGCAGTGTCTAGCATACCTGGGGAAGGCCACTATACAAAGGAGAAACACAAAAGAGGATGCCTACGTGTTGGTGATGTGAACTTAGGTGTGAAAGCAAGGAAAGCTCCTCCGGGACTCACAGAACCACCCTGGACTGGGGGTGACAGGAGGCCTTTCCAAGGGAGGGGGTGGTTAGAGCAAATACTAGTCAGGCCCTCATGCTCTGTGTCTCCATGGCCTTCTAAACTTCCTCACCATTAACCTCAGGAAAGCATGGTCCTGGACCTACTAATCTAATACTTTATAAAGAGCATCAGTCATTGCATCCCTGCTGAACAAAATGGCCTTGTCATGAGGCCCCTTCCTACTGGGAATTTTCCTTTTTTTTTTTTTTTTTTTTGAGATGGAGTTTCACTCTTGTTGCCCAGGCTAGAGTGCAATGGCACGATCTTGGCTCACTGCAACCTCTGCCTCCTGGGTTCAAGCGATTCTCCTGCCTCAGCCTCCCAAGTAGCTGGGATTACAGGTGCGTACCACCATGCCTGGCTAATTTCTGTATCTTTTTTAGTAGAGACAGGGTTTCACCATGTTGGTCGGGCTGATCTCCAACTCCTGACCTCAGGCGATCCGCCTGCCTCGGCCTCCCAAAGTGCTGGGATTACAGGTGTGAGCCACCGCGCGTGACCACTACTGGAAATTTTGATTTCATCTAGCTCTGTCTCAACCTTCTGCTGTGCCAGTGATTCTAATGTCTGACCAAGAGGGCCTTAATGTTCCCCTTCAGTTGACTCTGCTTTATAAAGACAGGCTTCTTCTTAACTATAAGCCCCTGAGCTCCCTTTTCTTAGAGCATTTATTTTAGAAAATATGCAATTATAAATTCTTTCTCCAACCCTTTGAGATATAAATCTTCTCCCAGCCTCTGGGCAGTTTTACAACCCAGGCATGTCTTTCTCAAGGACCTCAGGGCCATCCCTTTGAAGTATAATCATCAAGAAAGACAAAGTCCCAATTGATCTCAGTCTCTGTGGGAGGGTGGGAGCCTAACTTCAGTAAGTACTAATTAGCAAACACAGACTACCTAACCGCATTGACCAACCTCCCAACAATGTCCTCCAGCACTTTTAGATGAGTTCACCCCAGTGCTTAAAAACTCTTCTGCCTTTTGTTTCAGCAGAGTTGAGTTTAATCTTTCTCTTCTATTGCAATCGTCTTGAATAAAGCCTTCCTTACCTGTTTAACTTGTCCAGTGCAATTTTTCTCTGACATGCCTCTCAAACCACTGTATGTAGGTTACTTTCTCCACCTACACACTAAAATGTGGGGGAGAGGGAGCAGCATGTTCAAGACTCAGTCTTAGACCTTGTGCTTCTCACTCTGTACTTCAGAGCCCCATGGCTTCAACTTGCACTTCTGTGTGGATGATTTCTAAACCTACATCTCTTCCCCCTCCTACAGCTCATTCACTTATTCCATAGTCATTACTGAACAAATAAACATTCACTAACTTTCTCTTGCTTAGACATACTCCATTTCCAATTATGTTGTTTCTTTATAAATGTGATGATTATCACATAAAAATAAGAGGAAGAGATATCATTGCAAATGGAACTGAAACTAATTTCCAATCTCTTAGAGCTAAGAAATTGCTTGAAAGTATGCTATTAACATACTCTGCTTTCTCAAAGTCCATGATCTTTTACACTGTAACTAGCTTAGAACCTGGTCTTGCTTTCTGAAATGTTTAAGCCTCCATAACTTCTACTTTAAAATTCACCTTTGTCAGGCAATTACTAGGATAACTAGAAGTCAAAAATTGTGCCCTAACACTAACAAAACATAGTGTTATCTTTGTAAGAACTCTTTTCACAAGCTAAAAAAAACAGAAGTTTGTATTATATTTTAACAATCAAAGTGAGGGTAATAATTCTCAACAAAAGTAAAGCACAGGCCTGGCGCAGTGGCTCATGTCTGTAATCCCAGCACCTTGAGAGATGCGGCAGGTGGATTACCTGGGCCCAGGAGTTAGAGACCAACCTGGGCAACACAGCAGAACCCTGTCTCTACCAAAAATACAAAAATTAGCCAGTCTCATAACCTAGTCTCAAAAAATAAATAAACACAAATTTTAAAAAAAGAAGGTACAGATCAGTACTGTTACTTCTCAAATATTTTAACAAATAAAGAAAAAAGAAATAGAAGAACCATACTCTGCAAATCACTATTTAAAGCAATAATTTTTTACAGTTGTTAGTGAGAGCAATGGCTCATTCTGATATACATAAGATGATGCAATCAGGTTTCTTTTCAGAGCTGGGTTCCAAAGGGATTTCCTACTCAAGCTGGTCACATTGGGCTATAAAAGACACTGGTGCACTTGGAGACCAGACTCCACACAGGATCCTCACATGCAAGGTAATCAAGCTCATTGAAAAGTTGCCCTGGGCTAGTTTCCAACTAATTAAATAGATGAATGAAAGCCCATCTCTGCTTCCACATATTATCCTAGATGGCCTTACTCCCTCCCACACCCTTTATATCATCACTGCAATATCAACACCACATGAATTCCATGTTACCACTGGAATTTCGTTCCTGAACAATATTAATTCAACCATTTGAAAAATTCTGAAACGGTTTCATTATCTGAGTTAAAGTCTTAAAAGACCAGAACCATAGTTTACAAATAGACTATCAGTCCCCAATAACTCCACAAGTGAAAATACATATGTAGTGCCAAATATTAAAAAGTTTAACCATAGTTCTAGAAATAGAATAATATAAATTTCTAACCAATTTGGTTTAATGATACTTTTCTTAAAAAAAATTACATTTCTCAGACTTCACTAATATAAAATTTTCTTTTAAACATCATTACCTTAAATCTTACCTTATTTTTAAAAACAAGCTGAACAGGAATTTTTAGAACATCATTTATAATTTCCCCATCATCTTCAATATAATACACGATTACACAGGCTTTTGGAGTCCAAGAATTTTCTGGTGTTAAAGAGAAGATTGTTGAATTTTGTTTTCCTACAGCCACCAGCTGTCCCCTAGATACTACCTGAAAAGAATAGTAGATGGGTTTAATTTATTGCCAAACCTAGTAGGATCTCAACTGAAACTAAATCAATCATAATTGTATGCATACACACAAATTCTTGACTTGAACCAGCTTCAAAGTCTTTTTGAATGCAGGAAAACCTCTCTGACAAACACAGAGAGCATACACCGAGAAACAGAAAATGGTAAGATTAAAGTCATACTGATTGGAGCAACGGTAGCTTCATAGTCAAGAATCTATTTTTGATTGGAAGGAATACAGGGCACCATTGGGAAAGTTGAATTAGCAAAATTACATGGTCATGGATAGCACTTTTTATTTTCTTTTTTGTTTTTCTTACATTGTATGATTTTCTATAATGAATATCTATTGCTTATCAAATAGAATTTTAAATCTTAAACATAAAACAAGATTTAGTTATCTATTTTAAATTGGAAATGCAAATATAGGTGAAGAAATAAAAAAGGTTTTTTATTTGATTTCAATGTAGAAAGGACAGGCTAAAAAGGTATGAGGCTGAGTTATAAAAATTAGTAAGCTTAATGTAGATATAAGGTAGATACCATTTAAGATCATTCTCAACCTAAATACCCATCAAAGGTGGACTGGATAAAGAAAATGTGGTACATATATAGTATGGAATACTATGCAGCTATAAAAAAGAATAAAATCATGTCCCTTGCAGGAACATGGATGGAGCTGGAGGCCATTATCCTTAGCAAACTAACACAGGAACAGAAAACCAAATACCACATGTTCTCACTTATAAGTGGGAG